AATCTACCATTTAGGCGCTTACTATCGACGAGTGAAGTCCCCGAGGGTGGGAAACAGACAGGGCCGATGAGCCGGAAGCTCAATGATAATTTCACGCAGGTATCTCGCGGCTCACTCACGTCAAATCGTGATTACCGCCGGATCATTGAGCAGCGTCGTCGATTTTTCCTTTTTTTTTTTTTTTTTTGAGATTCTGACAATTCTGTTAATGATGCCCCTACACAAGTTAATCTTCATTGCGAAAAGAGGGGGTCCAATCCGGTGGCACTTGCTCGCTGCTACGAATCTTCGATGGAGCCTATGTTAATGTAACCGTTTCCGCAATTTACCTATAGAAATATTAAAATAAATTGCCGTTGAGAGCCAACACTGGATGAAAGTGTGTGTGTAATAAACTTTATTTAATTACATAAAATTGCATACGTTTCGACCTTAGTCCAGGTCCTTTTCAATGCATGAATTACACTAATATTAAAAAATTCTTTGATGGAGTAAATGATGTCAAAAACAATTACACTGGACTAAGGTCGAAACGTATGCAATTTTATGTAATTACATAAAGTTTATTACACACTTTCATCCAGTGTTGGCTCTCAACGGCAATTTATTTTAATATTTGATTATTCATAGGAGCCTCTTGTATATATATTGTTATTAATTTTTACCTACAGAACTTATTATTGTATATACAATGGACTAAAATGGCGAAATTATTGCGATTAAAAAATAACAAAGAAAAATATATAAGTTGTTCTGATTACTCGATGAAGACAGTCACTATATAAATATGCCAATTTTATTTAAGAAACTAAAATATTTTAGTATTTATAATTAGTTAGTTATATTGGAGTGGCACTTTAATAGCATAGAATAAAAACCATCACAGAATTCCATGCTGTGATCGATAATTTATTAATTATAATGTATATAATATGTGCATCATTAAAGCGAGAAATTTAAAGTGACCATTTTTGTTCCCAGGGTTAAGCTGTACGTTGGTAGTTCTACTAGCAGCGCTGTCAGTGCGAAGTGCTCCGATAATGAATTCCCCAAATAAAGCGGATGATATGAAATGGGTGAATCCTTGTGGTGTCTCTACGAAATTACGAACAAACGGTTCCAATCCGGACATTGCTCAGTTGGAGGACCATGATCTCCTCAACCAAATAGTACTCCAAGCGAGAACGGCATTAAAACATGCACAACTATTTAGAGATGATTTTGTAAGTAATAGAGTATATATATATATATATATGTATGTTTCACTTTTTATCATACATTGTTGTCTTCTTTGAGAGTTTTGACTGCGTATTTCTTTTTCGTGCGTATTATGGTATTATGGTAATTCACGTAGATACGAAATTGATACGATATTTTTTTGTTGAAAAATTATGTTTATGAATTCTTTAATAATTACTTATATGACCTCTGAGAAGGGATCGAGTAGAGTGACGGAACTCCGAGCAGAAGGAGGTTATGGTAGTATTTCCGGTCATCCAAACGTTCGATCGCAGTTCCATATATAAGTTATGATGATTTGAAAGAAATCTTATAAATCGCGTCGCATCTTTATATTAATTGCAAAATTTCATTTTTATCTTTTGTAAAAGTGTAATATGTATAATAATGAACATAATAGTTTACTTTAAATTTACAAAATAGAGTTGTGAATTTTATTTCAGTACAGTTCGCTTTTCAGATTACAATAAATCTGTACCAAATCTTTTAAATTTACGTTAAATTGAAAAATATTTACTTATATTATATTTCACTCAATAGTTGGATAATTGTTTATTCCTTATTCTGAATTATCCGTTCGACTATTATACATCTTAAATTTGCGATTGTGTCTTGAATTCTAGAAATAATAATCGATTTTATAAGGCAGATAGATACATACGACAGCGAGAAATTTTTGTTTCGAAAGAATCTTTCCAACCAATCGTACCTTATTATCTTTGACCAAGGACAATAAATCACGCACCAGACCCGAGCGGTTTCTCAAGGTTTCTCTTTAGGAGCAATCCAAAAAAGAGATCGACTCGAAAACCGCAGAAACAGAGGTGATGTTTCGCATTCTAAATTTCATTCGTTTTTCAAGAAAGATCGTCTGCTATTTTTACGTATAATCCGCACTTAAAACGCACTTGTTGACTTTGCCCTTTTTAATTATATAATTATATGAAAATTGAGATTTTTTTAATATAAAAAAGATTTAGACTTCTAAAGAGGCAGACACGAGAAAGCGCCAGTCATTAATTCCTAAACGATTGCGTTTCGTCAAATAATGGTACTCAGAAATAAACGCTCGTGATTGATCGCCGAACAACATCAGTTAAGACCAGACAAAGACCGTCCTCCGCTCGCGCGAACGGTGTTTACCTAGGCAAAGCGAGTATATGACCGAGTAAATTAGCATTCGTCGCGTGCATCGAGAAAGGGTATTTTCTGCCTCTTCGCATTATAGGGTCCGTTTCGCCCTAGGGCTCCGGCCGAAGGCGGTTAAAAAGCGTTCCCGTTACATCATCGCGCGCGGCGATACCGGATACCGATGTTTTTTAAGTCAGCGCATAATCCGATATCACACCGGCCGTATAGCTCGCTCCTACCCTTGGACAAGAAAGACAATAAATCGCGCACGTGTAAATACCTCGCCACTTGCGACATACAAAAGATGGCATGGAAGCGGAGTGAAGTCATAGTTGGACATGATGATGACAGGGAAGAATCAAGTTTCTCCTCTCCTCGCCGTTCGGCTCGCGGCGAGGCTACGGAGCTCCAGGGGCGCCTTCCTCCACTGATATCAACTTGCGGCGACACACTGTCTGATGGCCCAGTGTCTTCACCGTCCGACACTCGTTATCGGTTCAGCGTAGGCCGTCTACCGGCAGCCAGAGAAAGGAGTAGATTAGCCAAGGATACCGAGAACAGCGGAAGTCTCACGGCCAATGTATCTTTCGCGTGCGTGGCGCGAACGCGAAGGAAATCCGCGGCGAACCTCGCAATCTTTTGCAACTGACAAAACTATTCCACCAAAGAAGGTTTCCGGGATAATTGAAAATCTTTAGAGTACAATCGTCAGCTCGACATCTATCTGTTGCATCTTTCTACTGTCGGTCCATTCTTTAAGCTTTTATTGTTCTCCCATGACGTGCAATGACGGTTCATCATCTTACTATACCGTCTGAATAATTTATAAATCGAATTCATCCGTCTGCAATTCGCAATTCGCAAAACAGCGATGGATAATCTATGTTTTCGCGCGTATGCAGACGCCAGTACGTGAAGGAATCGGATAAAATATCGGAAGCGGAGGATTCCAATAAATCAGAATCGGAAGCTGCCCCCTCTCCACCGCGGATAGGTACCTGTACGCCACACTGGCACACCGCCTGCATACTAAAGCCTAGACCGGATATACAACCTGCCAGTGCATGTACTCGCCTCGATACATACGACACATATCTCCTATCATGGTATACTGCTGTGTTCCAATGTCCACTCTGATCGTCGTTCCTTTGGGCGATATATTTTTTAAACGTGCTCGTGATTGTTTAATATATCAATAATCAATAACATTAAACAGAGCGAGTAAGAGTCGAATTACAATTAAAATTCTAAATTTCTCTAATAATTTATTCTAATATAAATAAAAGAGTCCTTGAATTTTTCAAATTATTTGTTTAATATATCTTATAAAGTCCATAAAAAGCAAAATAAGAACGGATCGCGATGAATATTATCACAAAGATTAAAATTAACTTGACATAAAGTGTTTCTATATCAGGAGAAGTCTAACAAATTGCTCGATCAATGTAACGCTTGCAATTACAGTTTATCAACAGCATTAGAAATTACCGACTCAAGAGACTTATTTTCATAGGACGCTTTCGATATATCGCGAACTATATTCGATCGACTCTCGAAGCTATCACGAAATTTTATAACTTCTAATAAGCGGTGCAGTAGTGATGCCGCGCTAGAAGAAAGACTGAAAGGCTAATTGATTTTGACGGGTCCTCGGCAGCGCCGCGCGGAGACCATACCTATTCTTGCCAGCCTACTTCCTGCCAGCTTCCAGCTCGGTTTTACGATTATTCGTGCTCCAGTGTGGCCGACGAGACTTTTACGAGGCACAAAAGACCCGCGCCACAGATTTGTCCGCCGCCAGTGGTTGTTAGCGACAATTCCTTTCATTCCACCCTTTTTGTTTCGCTTTACCACTTTTCCCGTGTCCGTTCCTTGCTCTCGCAATCTCTTTTCGCGTTTATATATCTCGCGACGAAAATGTACGAAGAATATTCAAGCGTTTCAAAGCGTGAAGCAAAAATCACGGCGATCGTTTTGCGATCTCTGCGTTTTTCAGCACCGTTTTCCACATTGCGATAAAACAAAGGTTTTACCAAAGTTTATCGATTTTGGAGGGAATTGAGAGCCATCACGTGGATGTAACCAACACATCATAAAACGCGACGATAAAAACGAGTTCTTTTCGGCACCTGAAAGGAAGAAAGGCGGACGCGCAGGTTCAACTCTATTCGTAGGTAGTCACGTAGGTCTCGCTAATATATTTATTAGAGGACTGCTTACACAAAATTGCCGTAAAATTCCGTTTAATTACCCATCAGATTCCTCATTACGTATACCTATACACACTTGGGATGGTCGATATATCGTTAACAGTTGATGACGCAATTGACGGTCGGGGTCACCGTGAGTATTTAATATTTTTTTATACACAAAGTGTGGGTTTAAAAGTTATCTTTGTATCCTCTTGGACGCTTTCGTAACTACCGGGGCGTGAGAAGGGCCGATCACTGACCGGCGCGCGAGTGCCCGCAGGTACACGAGATCGAACATGCCATAACGAGGGAATGAATTTAATGAATGACTACCGCGATGCCGCCTTTCTATGGGCTACCCTCGCTAGCCACGAATTTCCGTCGCTGTCGTGCCTTCGAAATCCATTTGTCGTCACGTATGCTTATACTTTCCACTTGGCCGGTGCTGATACTTCCGTTTATTAACCTGGACGCGAATTTATTCTTATTTTTTCACGGCGTCGTATACGTTAGATAGAAGTCTCTTTCTGAGGATACATGATTTATCGAGCTATGCAACATGTGGTTCTTGGCAGCGTGCTTCTCAGGAATGTTGTTTGCGATCAAAGATATTATCGCACTTACACGAGAGTAGGAAGAATACTGTCGTACGATGATACACTTTCATTCCTACTTGAGATAATAGTGCGTACAATGCGTTATCTGCACTGGAATCTCAAGACACGAGATGAGACCAAATCATCTTTCCGTATATAGGATATAGCATGTGCGGGATTCTGTGAACAATGTGTGTCAACGTAATAAGTTAACACGGGAACTCTTTTGCGAGACGGTTGTTTGAGTCTTCAAATCATATCGCAACTGTTTGTCATAATAAGAGGCCGATGACCTATACCACAGCCTCGCGAAGGCTTGTGGGATTGAAACGTGCATCGTGCATCGTAAAACACATATATGCAAGATGTCATAAAAATTACGTATAATTATTATGTAAAAAATATAATAAATCTTAATTGTGTAGAGTAACTGTATATAGGATAACTGTTCGTCAGTTCTCTGGAATCTGATGTCAAGTGCAGTGGAACGAATTTTCCACAAATTATAATATGAAAATAAAACACGAAAAGTGAGAGACTTCCAATACGTTATGCAAGCTAATGTAGCACATATTTCCCTCGCTTACTACTTCTCGCACTTCTCGGCACAACGGATGATTCATAATGACTCGTCCGATGTAAGCGATCCCTGATGGGACAATTAGTGTGTCTCGGGCTGGCGCCCGAGTTTCCAAGTAATTTCTGGGTAAAGGACTAAGCTGGCTTTCGTTGGCTGACCCATCTCGGTATTCCCGAAAAGTCAGCGTGCCATTGCCGCTCGTGGCACGCGCTCTCACCCGCATAGACAGCCGGCACGAACCGTCGTGCGTTACTCACGACGGCAGTTCGCACGGCCGACTGCGTTTTCATCCATCGTACCAGGAACGAGGGATATCAGGAGACTGATCGTGTACGAGGTGTTGCACGGCGTATAATCGGTGACTAAACTCGCTGACATCCAGTGGCGTCGCTCCGCTATGTGCTATTGCGAGAAATTAACGCGAGCGAATCGGTACTTGCGCTGGCAAAAGTGCCGGCACAATTGGCGGATACCTGGAAATGCAATAAGAGCAACACGGTGCACTAGTCCGTGATCCTTTCGCGAAGTGACAATATAAAGTGGCAGTGAGATATACCGCTGTAAAGATAAAGAAGCGCCAAACACGCTGTGTGCGTGTATTGCGTTCTTGCTATACATATATATTTTTAAAGAACATTTTTCAATAAAAAAAAATGTATACAATATCGTATCAAAGTGTATATAATTACAAAAAGTATTCGCTAAAATTTGCTATGTATTATTTAATATCATGCGATATATGCTTTTGTACACGCATGTCACGTATCGCTTTATATATACCTTAATCTATTCCCGTGCGCAACGAATGTGAGAGATATGCAGAACGATGCAGCAATAACGCGACACCCACGCGGAATAATTTTTCTCAAATTTCCGCGCTAAGAAGACGATGATAAAGAAACTTGATAGTTCTGCATATCTTTCTTCGATGCTGCGGCTCCTTTTTTGAGAGAAACGTCTGTATCTAGTCGTGCTCATGTTTTTCCCTCTATATAATTTTGCAGATCAGACAAACTTTCAAGACGGACTTTGCCAGTGTCCACAATTTGTGGAGGAAATATCATTACACTTGGCTACCTACACGAACTGAGATACCCAAAGAACTGGGAGAGGAACTGGATAAGGAGCATCTCAACAAATTGGACGTATGTTAACAATTAGTTTACGTCGTTTTATTTGACTGCATATAGTTATCGCTTACAATCTGTTACAATACAGTAATTTATTAGAAATATATATCGTCAATAAGTACCTTCAATTTTCCAACCTTGATTGTTAAAGATAAAATTCAGATTATTTATTGATTTTAATCTAACACGCACATTTCTTACATATATATATATATTTTTTTAAATATACATATAGTATTTTTTTCACGATACATAGATATGCATGAATAATTACCCACAGTTATGAATAGATGATTAACAGTACGTTCGAATTCATGTATTTTCAGATTAACACGTCTCTCATCGATGCGTACGAATATATGCAGAAATATGCGGTGGGCTTAGAGCAGGTAGTTTGGGATCAAAAGGATTATCAGCCTAAGTATCATCAGAAATTCACAGAAGCCGAATGGAAACTACGAGCGGTAAGTTCAGTTTCGGGATTATCTCAAATCCGTTATCTTTTTAAATAATTATGCTGAGCCATGAGCATTCGATTTGTGTAACCTTTTCTCGGTAAAAAAAAAAAAAAGGAACTGCTGTACGCGACTTTCACAATAACATCGGCACAATTGGCCTGAATCATTTTGTCTTCGGTTGCTGCAAGTACAATAAAAGACGTTTTGCCAAGTTTTACGATCATTTTACGTAAAGGTTGAGACGTTAAAGATCGTCCGCTAACTGCCATTTTATTGACCATTCTGGCGAATAACTTGGGCGTGCTCCAAGTTCCTATTGGAGTTTCCTGCGTTTTTTTTTTTAGTTTTTTATGTGCATCGTCGATTTCGAAAATACAGATTTTGAAAGATTGCAGAAATCAGTCATCGCTTATTGAAAATCATTAACCAACGTTTATTTCGATCCTCGTATTTACAAGACATGTTATTTTCGTGACCATTAATTTTAAATTCTCGTAATTAAATTTATATATACTATAAAATTAGAGTAACTTTACATAGATGTTAAAAACTACAATATGTTTTAATGTCGTCAGTTTTTATTCAAAACTTTTATCGTAATATATTATCCAATTATGAGTGGTTTTAATGTTCTGATGCTTCTCTTTTCTCAGGTTCTGTGTGAGATCCAAGTTGCTATAGAAGAACGTAGTGTAACGCGACGGCCGGATGTCACTCGAGATATTATGCCACCTGATTTCCGAAAGACAACAGACATGACGTCCCGTGACCTGCGTGACTGGCTAATTTTCCGTGAATATATGAATGGTCTCGAGTATGTGATACAAGTATTTTCACATCTACGCCTACGCCTGTAATCTACACAATTCTGAAGATCCATATGGTAAAAGCCGAAGAAGGGCTACCAGACGACGCTTTCATCTTACAAAATTAACTGATGACTCCATTTTCCTGAAGAGGTGTAGGGAAGAAGATAGAAGAGACAGAAGGATTATCTTCTGATTATTATTTAAACCATTTTAACGAAATGTCTCTCTACAACGAGGATCGGGCTATTTGTTGGTATCGACGATAAGAACTAATATTGTCGAACCGACTGATATACCGCGTCACAGTATCTGCATTGAGCTTCTATAATAACTTTGAAATAGAAGTGCCATCAATGTTTTCGACACCTTATATTTATCACCCTCTTTGACACTCTTTAATGGTACGGAACCAGATAGAATGGAGAGAAAAAAAAAAGAAAAAAACTGCGTCGTTATTGGTCTACTGGCTTTCACCGTTTCACGGCCACATACACATAATCATGCATATTCACACAAACTATGATTTCGCGCGAAGATGCCCTACAAACGTGTGTGCGTATTTGATTTTATATACGAAAAAGAAAATAGAGTTATTCCTCTTTATGTAAGTCAATGGCTCAATTGTTTAACATTGAACGTAAAATAACTTCCGAGATCATTATTACATATCACGATTATCTTACAATCTAAAAACGTGATATCTATTATTCATGATATATTTTCTTTTCGACACATTGTTAACATTGAACGTGGTCGCGATTTAATTGACTCAATTTTCAGTAAAAACTTGAGTTTTTAAATAATATTTTTTAATATAAAGAATAAGATTTGTGACGATCATATTACCGCGTAATGATTGTTACACAAAGTATAAAAAACACACAAAAAAAAAAAACAAGATTGAAACAATCGATGAAAGTCACAGGTAAATTTTACGAAAGATTTAAATTGATCTTTTAAGCGTGGTTTTTGCTTGTCGTAGTAGTTTGGACATTTTAACACTTGTAATACTTAACATTACACATTCTATGCTCAGAGTAAAACGAAAAGTGATTAAGAGATTACTGATTAACTAAGAAAGAAGATAGTTAATAGGGAGAAATTCAACGTTGCTGTAGGTTCATAATAAAATACAATATTTTGGACCTAGCAGTAATTTAGATTTCTCGTAATTATATGCGCATGTACGTATTACATTATGCACACAAAGAACCCACGACACTGTTGAAAGGACTCTCTTCGCGAACGATTCATACTTCACAATCTTACATAATAATTTATTGACTACTTATATATATATGTTTACGTATAATATAATTATATTATATGTAACACATTATATATAATATTAGTATATCCATATTTATTCAGATTATTTATTTTATTTTTATAAAGATTTTACACTCCGATTAATTGTATTTAAAGTATCTAGTTGAGCTTAAAAGTGCCTAGTGTATATGAAAGAGAGAAGGCTATATCACAATTAAGACTTCGTACCTACGTGTGATTACTTTGCTTGCGCGTACGAAGTTTTATTATTACAATATAATACTATCATCGTGCAAAAGGAGAAGAACGCATCCCCGCGACGAATCGCGACGTGTCCTTTCTATTTGATGACACAAGTCGACACGAGTGTCGTTCTATCTTTCTTGACATTTAGAGATCGACAAAGATAGAACGACACTTGTGTCGACTTGTGTCGACTGATGTCATCAAATGGAAAGCACCCATTATATGTCGTGTGTCGCGCTGTTGCTATTGCTTCTCTTCTTGACGTACCTTTACAGGGTATGAGAACTCTAATCACACACAGAAACTTAACGAGGCTGGTTAATTTCGCACTTTTGATCGCAATTATTTCACTCGCAAATGAGATCCTTCTAGTATTATATTTTACTCGATATTATTCTTTTAAACAAATATTCTTTTACATAATTTTTTTATGCCAACATCGATATTTTTATTAATAACATGCGAGACTGTTGAAGACTATTGGCAACAGGGTATATCATATTATATAAAGATTTTATCAATTTTTTCAAATTTATTATTTTATTTCATGAATCCATCATGATGCTATTTTGACAATCAATATATATATTTTTTAAATGTGTATGACATATATTTTTATATCATGATCTATTCCAGTTTAAATATTTTTATAAAGTTCTAAATCATGTCTTAATATGTATATATACACACACATATATATATATATATGCACACATATATATATACACATATATATATATGTACATCTTACGCCCCTGCAGTCTTCAAAACTAATACCAGAAGAATTATTTTGGTACTTACGATTCATAGTCGCGTGACCATCTTTTCTAAAAGATCGGTCATAATAGAAAGAGTTACTGTGCGATCATCTGCAAATAAATAATGTATTGAAGTGTGTATTGTCATACTTAATTTTCACATCAGCAGCAACATGTAAATCATATGTACAAGTTTGAGATATCATCGACGCAATTTTAAATGCGTAAATCATTATTTATACGCACATATACGTCGCATAAAATATATTTTTATTTTCTTATCATGGCGTCTGTGATATGCATCCTAGAACATCCCTCAGGCGACTAATTGTTCATTTCCGAATCGATCCACGCTTGCTTCCGTTGACGAAAAAAGAGACAGAGAGAAAAAACAAAGGAAAAGAAAAAAATAGGAAAAAAGAGAACAAGAAATAGCAACTAAAAGTGTATTTGTATTTTATTATTTTAAAATGTAATTATTCGCTCAAATTATTGTATAAATTTTGATAGAAACATGTATTTTTTCTTCGAAATGATAAAATAAGAATCGATTGATATTATATTTGTTTTCTAAAAAGAGATTTAATAATTTTTATAGACCTTGACCTACCTCTCTCTGTCTCTTTTCATCATAATTCTGATTGTAAAAATGAAACACATAAATAATTAGCATGTAAAGTTACGGTCCATAAATGTTTTCATTTATCGTAAAATTAAAAGATTCTGGTAATTGTAAATATGGAGATGTCGTACACTACACACATGACCGTAAAGATAAAATTTTAGTAATATTGCGACACAGGATAAATTAAATTTGGATTGACTAGTGCGATCGCTTCATATACTGTACACAAATGATCTGATAATATAGTTTAATCTAGTAATAAACTGCAAATTATATAATTTTATGTATGAATATGTAATCTGAAAATACGGGCTTCTCTCTTCACAAAATGCCCATTCTGTTGTAGCATATTAAACCAAAGACCGTTCGATATCTTATCGTTGTTATTTCAATACTGCCTTTTCCCTTCTTACTAAGATTTTCTTAAAAAAAAAAAAAAAAATCCTTACAAAGCAATGTGTATAAATTAAAATTAATGGTTTGATATATAATAAGTTCTAAACCTAACAATTTTCTAGTTATGTTTGCTTTTTAATAAGTGTATTAGCAAAGCAATTCTTCGATCATTGGCACGTGTTACTCGAGTATTCGGCTCGAATATTTCAACCTGACCAAACGGGATTTGCCTTTTCCCATGATCAGTGTCCGATGCCGTGTCTACGGAGCTGTTGACGTCGTCGGTGTTTGAGAGGAAACGCGTAAGTACATGATCATCGGCCCAGGTACGGCTCTGTCCCAAGCCGCCGTGTTTGCGCACGCTGTTAGCTCATTGTCATCGTTCGTCCAACTTACTTTCTCATAAGGATTTCCACTTCTCTCGTGCTGATTCTGTGTTTGACAATTCCTACCTGCCTTCCCTTTGGTATCCTCATCCAGGTGGTCTTCCAAGCGCCGCCAAGGTGTCAATGTTTTGCCTAGCCATTAAGATCGTTAGCCCATCTACGTTTGACAGCCGAAGGGCGATACGATTCTAGAATTTTACTTTAGAACCTCGGATAATTGCTTGGTGTAGAGAAAAGAACTATATCTTCAGTCTGTAATAATATGGTATACAAAAGAGAAACTAAAATTTTTTGCTATATAATAATTTGCTTTTTTGTAGGAAACGTTTTTAAACTGCGTACATGTATATGATACATAATGTACTATGTTGCTATTTATAAATATAAATATGTGCTAAAATAATTAATCTAAAATAGTATGCTGCAATAACAAAATTAATCATCAAAACGTACATTATATTTAATGTAACAATGTCAACCAAAAACAACGCTATAATAATTATGCAACGTAATAAATAATATGTATCAGATAATACCGACTGTGTGTCTGTCTACAATTTTCATTTGTTATACTTAACGCGAATAAAATATTGATAGCGGTCGGTGAGTCTCCTGCAATGGAATTCGAAAAGTCTGGCGCATACATACCATCGGAGAGAGCGTTAAAGAAGAATGGTGCGCCAGTGTCTTCGCTGGTGGCGCAGGTAGGGATCGACGATCGAATCTTATAGGGCAAGATATGAATGAGACGTGTGAGAAGAGGCCGAAAAGATCGGTCAACGCTATGAATGGCTGGGAAAACTGCGACGTTTTTTTTTATATCACGGAACATGCTTCGTCTCTTCTTCCTTTCTCCTACTACTTATTCTTTCGCGTCTCTCAGTTGCTCCATCAACGGCGGCGATGTGCCGACGGTGATCCTTTTGCACTTCGCTCCAAATGAGTCCTGAGAGTGGTCCGGAATCTAGCCCCCGCCGTTGCCTCGGGCAAATACTTCGGCTCCTTTCAACTCGAAAGAAAAAAAAAAAAAGAAATATACCAGACCTCGTTGTAATTAGGATAGTGCGCCCGCATGGACAAGCTACAGGGAGTCTTCGCCACTCACCATTCATTCTTCTTCTTCACTCGCTATGTAACTCGTCCTGTCCTTCTTCGTCCTCGCCTCGTCGCCATTCTCGTATACCCCGAGGGCATCCTCCCGCTATATTCCTAGCGGCCCTTAAGACAACTTTCAATAATGTCGAGACAAAAGACTCCAAAAGTTGAGTAGTTCTCGCAGTTTACCGCGGCATCCTTAGAAACAGACAATCAACTATGCCAACAGAATGTCACTTGTGTGAATGTATTTCTCATTCATTATTATTACATGTATATTACATAAATATTTACTAGCGCGCTTTATACAATATTATTTCACGGAAATTAAATTTCATTATTTCCTTCACAAAGAAGTAATTGTTACATTTGTACAATATTCCTTTTATAAGGTAATCATACCCCATACATTATTGATTGTTCTTCTTCGATAACAACGAAAATGTGCGGAAATTAAACTTTTGTAGTCACTAATCAGAATAACCCGAAGAAAACGAGATACACGGTCATCCTTAACTGCTGCTGATTGAGGGGCGGTGCTGTGCTAATAGGTTCCATCCCCCGCCCTCTTGGCATGGATACTATACGTTCTAAAACAGCCTAGATTTATTTCACAACTAATTTTGCCTTGTTAGCCGATAGGCTAGTACAAGGGGTCTATTTTTATTTGGTCAGCGAAACGCGTGCACGTCCCTCATCACAGCTAAATAGATATTAATCACAACAACTGCTTGAAAACTATTCGTTTTCAATATACGCGTATTATGTTTTGCTGCATATCTGTTTTTTCAGATTATTTTCCTCAATCAATAAATTTGCATCAATAAATTTTCTATCTTTTTTCGCTGAAAACGGAAAGTCTGCTAAAATATAATTAAATATATGATATAAATATAACCAATAAGA